TAAATAAATTATTTACTTTTAGTTTTATTAATAGTTTTGGATGATATTCTTTTCTTTCATCAAATTTAATTAATGTTTTTAATTGTAATTTGAAATAATTGTTGGAAATTTAATTTGAAATTTAATATTTTTTTTATTTTTAGTTTTAGTTTTTGATAAATAATAATTTATTTAGTCTTCGAATTTAAATAAATTATTTACTTTTAGTTTTATTAATAGTTTTGGATGATATTCTTTTCGTTGATAAAATTTAATTAATCTTTTAATTGTAATTTGAAATAATTGTTGAAAATTTAATTAGAAATTTAATATTTATTTTTATTTTTATTATTAGTTTTTGATAAATAATATTATTTTCGTTCATCGAATTTAAATATTTTTTGAACTTGAATTGATTAAAAAAATTGTGTTAATTAGGAAAATTGACATTATTGATAATAGGATAAAAAAATTCACATTATTGATGATTTTAATTATTATGAATCTGCGTTTTACGTATTGTAGTTACAATTTCTTTCGCTAAATTCTCTGTTATTATGCTTTTATTCTATTATCACTTGTACAATGTTCTAACATTTTGAATTTTTATAGGATGGATTATCATCTTGACACAGAGTTGAGACAGATGTCAGGCAAAGCTACGTGGAAAAGTAGCTTTGATAGTTTCACTGCTGTGTTAGAGCTGCTCGATGATCAGCATGCTGATATGCTGCATCAGTCCTTCCTGTGGGCCTTGTACCCGTTGAGAGATCTGCAGTACTCGGGTCAGATTATTGATGCACTTCTATGTCGATTGCAGAGTTCAGTCGACGACGATGCCCTCCACTTCGCAATCGGGGGTAAAGTCATCATTTTTTTGATGTTCGAGTTTGCTCTGATCATGGGATTAAAGATTACGATCGATGAAGCAGCTGGTGATGGGACTCAGAGAAGAAATAGGCTTTATGACGCTTACTTCAAGGGACAAGGAATTGTGCTTCTTACACAGTTGTTGGACACAATTAGGAGGTCTAATCAGATGTTAGACAGACTGAAGTTAGGTCTGATCTACATCCTTGAGAGCATGGTGCGGTGTCACCATAAGAAGACTGCGATTGACCACTTCCATCTGGAGATCTTCAACGACATCGATCGTTTCAATGATTATTCGTGGGGTCAAAAATATTTTGAGGACACCGTACACATCTTCACCAGATCGCACTCGAAGCCGAAGGAACCATGCGTAAGTACGACACCTATGAATTGCCCCTGGAGATGCAGGTAAATGGTTAACATAATGAATGTTAAAATTATTTTCATATTGAGTTTATATATAATAATTGTATGTGTTATAGATCTGAGCGTATGAGACCGTCCCCTTATTGGATGCCCGCTTTGCGAGGCGAGGGGAGACATGCTGCCCTCGGATGCACTATTGGAGAGCATCTCGATCGGAGGGATGTCCCACTGGAAAACAGTTATCGACTATCATTGATGACCCTCGGGTGAGTATTATGCATTTGTAATTTATATTGTGTGTGATTTAACATCTGATTGCATGATCATTAACTAGTTCAAATATTAATATGTCAGCTTGAAGTCATAACTGCGTTGACACCATCGATGGAGGAGAAGGCTCAGGGTCTTGTGCTTTAATTAGGCGTTTCGCACACCCAAGACAACTAGATGTCCGATCTGATCCACAACCGAGATTAGGTGAGTGAATTGAATAAAATCTATTGATTACCGTTTTGTATGAGTTAGCAATTACGAATTAAGTTAATAATTTGTAATGTTGTTGCTTGTGTAGAAGTGTGATCCAGTTGATCAACGATCACATCCGTCGAGGGCATCACCACCTCCGCCGAGGGCAAATGCCGTCGAGGGCATCTTTTTCGCTTCCCCCGTCCAGAGACCTTTCCCGTGGATCTCCTGCACGTAGTTACGGGCACTATTTTGATGATCTGTATGTCCGTCTGAGCAGATTTATAGTGGGGCAGGTCGACGGGTTGCGTCGAGAGATGATAGAGAGGGTTGATGATATGGGACGACAGTTGGTAGGAAGGGTCGAAGATTTGTCGAATGAGATTGCAGTACTTCGAGATGATATAACCGGTAGGCGATGGGTTGACGGAGACGGTGATCCAGAGGGTGATAGGGATGGGAGTGATAGAGATAGGGGTATCCGGCAGTCATACATACATGATGATGATGCATGAGAATCGTTTATTTTATCTGTGGAGCGTAATGGGGTGGGAGCAATGGCAGAGGAGGGGAGCCCGTCGGGGAGGGAGACAGTGGCAGATGAGGGAATGGCCCCGTCAGGGACAGAGACGGTGGCAAATGAGGGAGTGGCCCCGTCGGGGAGGGAGACGGTAGCAGATGAGGGAGTGACCCCATCGGGAACGGAGACAGTGGCAAATGAGGGGATGGAGGAGGTGGCGAGCCCTGGGGTGGAAGAAGTGGCAGTGTATAAGGGAAAAAAGTGTGCTCTTGACATGCCAGAGACGATGGTCGGCAAGAGGCCGAGAGTGCCATTACAGTACGTCGTCTCTCCCTTCACAGTTGAGGCGAAGAAGAGGAGGTTCGTCTATAGGACGTACCCCAATCTGTTTCGGGAGGTCAACCATGCCAAGTGGAAAGCATTCGAAGCCGAGTGGCAAAAAATGTTGCCCGGGTAAGTATTGTATGATTTAGTAGACTACCAGAACTCGTATATGCTTCGTTTAACGTTTTATCTATTTTATTTCCAGAGCCACGCACATGATAGCTGGAAGGACGATATTGGACGCATACAAGTGGTTCCATGATATCACCACTCAGGGGGCTTAGCTCGTCAACGATGTAAGTGAAGTGTTATTGTTACTTTTTTTATACATTATGTTTAATTTGGTAAATGGAATAGGTATTTATGTCTTTGTTTTCCTTGATGTAGCACATCGACATGGCCATGAACTTGTTGCGCGATCGAGTTGAGAGATATCCACAATCATTCCACAATCCTGACCGCATAATACTAAACACCAAGTTCTTCCGTGCCATTATCACTGAGTATCAATCGCTCCAGCTTCTTGGTAACGAGTATGTGCTTCCCGGGTATACGCCCGAGTGGGTCATCGGGCTGTCACCGAGTGTTGGGGGAAAGCTATGGGAGGGTTGTACGCATTTGTACATTCCAGTGATCGTGAATCTGCACTGCATTGTACTGAAGATCGTGTTCCCTGATTCGACGATATATGTGTACGACCCCGATCATTCATGTTTGACATAGGGACAGCTCGAGCAGAACTTAGAACAGGTGACTGTGATCGTTCCTATGATGGCTAGACATGCGAGCTTGACTGTGGATGGCAAACTAGCCATCGTACGGGATACGACGACGGCAAGACAGTCTATACCGTAAATCTTTGTAATTTTTTTTTTTAATTTAGTAATCAGTTCGTATGTAATTGGAACCGAACTAACACATATTTGTTCATTTGCAGGGACGATTGTGGGATTTTCGCAATTAAATACATATAATTTTTTAGTATAGCACATAAGGTTGATGGAATCAACTAGTCATGGATACAGAATTGTCGAAATAAGTTAGCGTGTGATTTATACGAATTAATTATGATCCATAAATTATTTGTAAATATTTTTTGTAATTAATATTTGTAACTATTTTTTGGGATTATTTGTAACTATTTTTCGCAATTGTTTGTAATTATTCATGTAAATACTGTTTATTTCAATATAAATACTATTCATTCCAATGTAAATATACAATGCTCTAACTGTCATTTCAATGTATAAAATTGGCGGGTATGTCCTACTGATTTGCACCTGCTACACCTACGCGGTCGGGAAAACTCTCTAGTAAATGGTATTCTAGAAGTACTTGGACGTCCAGGACCACATGGTTCAATGAGAGGTGGCGACAATGTATTGAACGGGCGAATATGATCGGGAACTTCCCACTCGACTTCATTTGGAAGCGGAAATATGATTTCAACATACGCAACTCTCCAGTTTTCAGCAGTGTAATAAGGAGAGCATAATATTCTCGCTGCAAATCCTCGATACATAGTCACCGCAACTGCATGCTCACATGG